ACTCTACCACAGTCTAGGAAACAACAGACACGTTCCTTCTGACAGCTGAGGTACAATACACTTCTCATCTACATCACATAAGCAGCTATTTATGTGGCAATAGCTGAATCCCACAGCTTTACCATCTACCTGTTCCTGTCAGCTAGGATCCCTGTCACCGGCTCAACACCCTCTTTAACAGTCTTTAGGGCCACTAGACTGGATGTTCTCCAAAGTCCCTCTAACTTTCAGTAGTGTCTCTCTTTCCCAAAACTTTCCCAGCAATCAATACTGGTCTCAAGAGACTGTAATTTGTGTCCCAGTACCATAAAGCAGCTTGCATGCATTTACCCCTTGCCTATGTGACGCTCATTAATAAGCTACAACGCCAAGTGTGAGGAACAAGTCATCTAAAGGAGGGTTAGGGTAGGGTTCTCTCAAGTGGTTAGAAGTACAGCTGCAAAGAGGTTGCTAAGACGCAGTCACATGGGTCCGGCATCAGCTATTTGCAAAGTGGTGGGCTTAAGACTGGTCTTGAGAGAGAGCAGAAAGAACAGAGGTGTTTAGGACATAAATTTGCAATGGAAAAGGAGTCTAGGAAACCATTTCCTTCTCCGTTATTCAGGGGACGGAGCTTTGTGTCCATTTTTGTGCATAAGAAATGAAACCAGGAATTTTAATGATCTCTTGGAGAAAAGCCTGAAAGTCCCCCCAAACTGGCTAAGTCATCAGGGTGGTGGTGAAACAATGTTATGATTTCCCACCAACTAAACCACAATGTAGCATTTCAGTTTTGAATCATGCTTGCTTTGCTGCTTTCAGAATGATGGTGAAAACTTCACTGCTAGAAATGCAGATTCACAGCTGCTGTTGATTGTTGTAACTCCTTTGATGTCGGTAGCTGGAAGGAAGATGAATAGCGGCTGAGGAGCTCTTTAATTCCTTTACACGAAACAAGTCACTGCTCCACATCAGTGTGATCCAGGGAAGCCCTCTGATGGTTCTAGAGGTGAGGACTTAAAAAAGACACACTGCTGACCGACAAACTGACAGATCTTGCAATGTGCTGATCTCATTCCAGGAGCTACACACCTGCATGCGCTTAGGACGACAAGACGTTTCACTCCTGCATTGCCTCAGTGTCCCGCTCTGGTAGTTGCTCATCACCTTGCAGAAGCATTAAACTTTCCGCATTTCCACCAACCGAATGGAAATGAAAGGGGGTTTTATTCCAAGACGCTTAAAATGCCGTGTTCTGAATTTCCGTTAGGGGATGGTGCTCTACCATCTCACAGTTATTTCCAATGTGTATAGTATTTGATAGTTGAAGCGATACTGGATTTGTCTTCCAGATACAATAAGTAATCTTTGTTACTAAACTTTTCCTTCTGAAGACGTGCTTATGTTCTTGTTCCTCTGGCTCAAAACACCATTATACACAGGTCATCTGCACACGTGGATCACTATAGCACCGGGGAAGTCCTGGTACTCAAGGTAGCCCAGGGCTGTCCTCTGCTGCTAGGGCACTGGCTTCAGGACTCAAATACCCCCACATACCCACCAGGAGGGGGTGGCAGGGAAGACCCCCTCAGCACTACGGTGGTGTGGCAAGGCTTACAGCACAGGGGTACTGGGATTTTTTCTAAATCTGAAAAGAAAACGCAAGCCTCGCCATATGGTTTCCTTCCCAGAAGAGGGAAGCCTGCTCTTGGCTGGAGCTCCCCGGCTGGCTCCGGGAGCAGGGAACTGAACTAACTGGGCCCGGGCGCTTGAAGGGCAGCTGGGGGGGGGGAAAGTCGGCGGGGAGTTTTGAGGAAAAGCCTGCCGGCTCCCCCTTCCCCCTCTGCCGCCAAAACGCTCGCCACCTCCTCCAGGCCGCCGCCGACCCCGCACCCA